GTTATACTCACATAGTATATAAAAAAGGTTACCTTATATATTACCTTATATAGAAAATGGTTAATATAAATCCATATCAATCTATGACAAATCAATAACAATCCTAGGAATATCTTTTAAGAATCAATGATAATCCATCAAAATTTATAAAATCTCAGAATTTTCAAAATCTACAAAATCTACATAAGTCCATCTACGAATAAGGGCCCCTAAATATATTTCACAATTTCAAAACATTTCAGGTTTCTCTAAATGCACCGAAACCGTCATCATTTTTTAGTGTAATTGTGTGCGAGTCTATCGTAGTAAACCGATTTTAACACTAGTATCAAACTGTCAGTTGGGTAGAAGTAGTTTTTTTTTCCATGAAAGAACCATCATGGAGTCGGAAGTGTTGTTTGGGTTGGATAGCTCATCGGCTGTGTCAATGGTGTAGAGTTTGTTTCTGATAGCGCTAGAGATCTTTGAGACGATGGAGTTATGAGGTCTTGCTTATCGAGGTGAAGTGTCCTTTGTTGCGCTCGAGCCAGATGTTGTAAAGACAAGCTTGACGATTGTAGAGATGCTGCGGGGTACGGTGTGTATCCAAGCGATTATACCATCATATGAGTGAGGGAAAAGGTGCTACCAGGTAGAAAAGGCAATCCGTGGCTAAAGGCACAAAGCAAAGAAGAAATGGGTGCGGGTTTCTACATCATAGGAGGAGAGGATGCATGATGCATGGTGGAGGCCGAGAAGTCTATGGCTAAATGCACAATCATCATTTCAGACTACACGGGGAGTCCATGGAGGAGACCGAGAAGTGGCGAACCAGCTGGTCAAGTAATGTCAAGTAGGGGACCTAGAAATGGGTGTGTGAAGTCTCTCTCTCGTTCACTAATATTAATACACATAAATAATCAAGTGAATAATAATTGTTGAAAACCATATGCGATTACTAATTGTTTTACTTATTTCAATATATACACAACAGACAACACACACACTCATCATTGTAGAGATTGACGATACAAAATAAATAACGATTCAAACAAACAAACATTACACACTTACTTAATTTTTTTATTTTGTTTAAAAAAAAAAAAAACATTACACACTTACATGATTAAGAAAATAAATAAAGATGCACGTTACTCCTTCCCCTTAAATTCATTCTCCGATAATTAAACCACTCTTCTTCAGTTCACGTTTAACTTTCTCCATCTCTTCCTCCGGCAACGTCACCGTCACAACCCTCTCCTCCTCTTTCGCCGCCGGCAACACCACCACAGCTCCGTCGTCTCCTATCCCGTGAACATTACAATAAACCGATTTCGGCGATTTTTTCTTTATTTTCGCCTCGTAGAAATCTACTTCGCTCATATCCACAAACGTCAATCTCGCTCCGTAAACGATTAAATCCGAATCACCATCATCGCTCTCCCCAATCTCACCGATCCCAAACCTCTCATCGGTCGCTTTTCCGATCGATTTTACAATCTCCTCCAAATTCGCTTCGGCCACCGAAAAATCGACATGAACGGAACTAATTACCTGACTGTTACTCACCGATCTAGGTTTCAAGCCGTCCGAGTCCGATCTGATGATCGTAATCGTAACCGGTTCTGATTCTCCCTTCCTCACATTCGCTATGCATTTCCATATGATCCCACAGAGAATCTCGAATTCGTCTCTGATCGCCGGAAAGTGTGATCGTATCTCGTGAACCGTTAGATTGAAAGAGTATGTTACCATTTTCTTGTAACTTGGAGCGACCCAAAGGTCTCCGACCGGGTCAACCCGTTTGACGGAATCCGGTTTCTTACCCGTTGAATTCGGGTTTTGAAACCCTCTTACTCCGTCAGATGTTTTAGGGCAGTATATTTTTTCACCAGCAAAAGCTCGACTCCATAAATTGAAAAAATGAGAAAGAGAAGATGCATCTCCCATTACATGGGCCCAGCTAAAGCCCAATGCTAATCCACCGCACTTAAACCGGGTCATCTACGCCAACAAAACCAAATTCAACCGATGTTTTACACTTTTTTATTTTACGTTTCTAATAAGGGTAATCAGCATGGTTAAGAAGTAAAAGAAACCTCTATGTAGGGAAATTCTACAACTAAGAGCATCTCCAATGGTTTACACCATTTTTTACATTAAAAATGGTGTAACACCAAAATGGTGTTGGGTTTTGCTCCAATGGTTTACATCAATTTTTACACCAAAATAGAATATTTTTAATAGATTTCTTTTTCATTTCTTTAAAATTTACAAATCAACCCCACTTATTTACTTAAATTAAAAAAAAATATGAAATAAATTAAATTTAACATTTATTATATAAAAGAAATACATTGTAACATATAAAATAACAAAATATAATAAGCTTTTGTTTAATTATTATCAAACATATTAGATTTTGGATTTAAATATTACAATTTTTATATGTTTTTATTAATTTTAAAGTTGATTAAAATTTGAAGAATCTTTTTATAAATAAAAAAGTTCAACACCAAAATGGTATAAACTCATTTTCTACACCAAATTTGGTGTAAATAATGTTGGATTGGAGAGAGTTTTACGTAAAAAAATAGGTTTGGTGTAGGATTTAGTGTACCATTGGAGATGCTCTAAGTCTAAAGTTTTTAGTTAGATTATTAGATTTTTTTTTTGGGTTATTCAACTAATTGGCCCTTATACTAATACGTCTTTTGTCATCCAAACTAATTTTCTCGTGGAACATTGATAATTTGGGTTTTCAGTAATAATTTGGTGGTAAATTTGGAATGATATTGACTTTTAGAAAATTTCTCCGCCTTTTAAATATTTAGATTGTTGTATTTGATGTTGTTGTTTTTTTCTCTCTTCGTACATGTTAGCCTTTTTTAATAGAGTGAATTTGTGAAATAATTATATTTGGGTTAAAAAACTTATATGGAATACATACATAGTGATTGACCATTTAATAGAATGAAAAAAAGAGTAATCATTTTTTTTTATTGGTAACTCAGGGTAAATCCCAGGCCAAAGAGCCTAGACTAATCTCTGGGGGAGGTGCAGCCCATAGTATAGACCCTCCCTCCGGATATGCAAATGGGCGGAAAGCAAGGGTCCATATCCATGTGGATGTCCAGGACAATGTGATTTAGTTTTGCACAGCAGGTGGATCGAATCTGGAACGTGTTAGCGTCCCAGTCCCGTCTCCTTACCACTCGACCACAGCGTCTCGGACAAAAAACGAGTAATCATCTTCAACCAATTTTCTCTTTTTCCATTCTTCCGAGGGCAAAATTATTATTGTCGTATTTTCATATCTTTTAATTTTTAGTTTTTCCTAAAATGATTTAATCTCACAATCATTTTCGAATTTTTTTTTTCATATGCCATCATTTAAATTGGAAATAATACAAAATAATCAAAAATAAATTTATGATTTTAAATAATAAAGTGCATCATTGTATATATAAAACATATAATATAACGCTAGATAACATGATAAATTTGGAAAACACCATTTTTAAAAAATGTCATCTTTTAAAATCTTTTTAAAAATACCACTAAAATTATCATTTACTCAAAATATCACTTATGTATGCGTTAACAATTTAGTTTTGGGGGTTTAGTTTTTTGGATTTGGAGTATGTTAGGGGGTCAAAACTCTTTTTAAGATTTAGGATTTTAGGGTTTAAGATTAAAAAAAATCCTTAATGAGAGATATTTTAAAAAAATTGACATATAAAAATTAGCATTTTTGAAATTCCCCCAACCATATAACATTCTATTCAATGTTTTTAATAGAATGGCATGCTAGTGGTAAATAGAACAAAACATGTTATTCTATGTTTGTGTAAATAGAAAAAATAGCATTATATTCTCTGTTTTTCTAAATGGAAAAGAAAGAGTAAGAGTTTAGAATTACATATCAATTTTCGATTATCTTGTATCCATTTTAAAAAAATTTAGACAATGGTGTATGCGAAAAAATGTTTTTTAAGAATAAATAATTTATGTGACGATGAAAGAAAAGAAAAAACATGAGACGTCTTTTATACCTCAACAATGTGGATTTTTAGTTTATTTCTTGTTGGCACTTTTTATATAATTTACGTAAAATGGCAGAGATATACATACGTACCTGAATATAGATCAAAGGAGAGAAGGTCAACTCCGGTCCAACTGGTTTATAGTAAACCAGAGACTCATCAATGGACCGGTCAGGTAGACGAAGCCACTCATCCACGGTTAGATTGCAATGACTTTCCACGAAACGCGTGCCACAGTCGTTGCATTTTATGTACGGACGTCTCGAATCGTGCCGCGCGAACCTGCCAGTGGTCCATGGGAACTGGTCGAACACTGGGAAAAAGGGAGCTTTCACATGCATCACGGTCAAGTCACGTGCTATCTCGGCCGAGTATATGTAAACCACTTTTAGGTAGTGCAGTTTCATGGCGAGGTCTAAACCGGTGGGTTCGTGGGTCGTACCAGTCTCTGTCGGCCTTGATGAACTCACGGTCGATAAACGGAAGCCATGAACCGGACCGTTTCCATCTTCTTGAACCCGACCCATTTGTATGAGACAAGGGTGATTATGGGTGATTTCTTGGTGTAGTCTAAACAAGTATATATAGAGGAATATGTCCATGTTGTTATGTATATAATATTAATAGCTAGAGACAACGTACGTCACAAGTAGGTGAACGTGACCCCTCATTCTTAATTGGGAATAGAACCGTCCACTCCTTCCGGTGTGGTTAGCAAACTTAACAATATATTGAGAGAGTCATACAAATATCTCTATATATAATCGGAGGATCCCGGATCAAAATCCACAATAATTTTTATAATCGAATGAATATGTTAGTTATCGATCTGTAGACTACATGAGCAGTTTTAGATGCGTATATGATTATTTGATTTACAACACAATTATGTTTTCTTATTTACAAGTTTCAATGAATCATATTAAATAAAAATATCTCAAAAACGTTTTGGTGAA